CCTCGCACAGCGGGTACAGGCTGAACGACTATGTGTGAGTCCTGAGGGTCTGCCCCTCCCCGAGCCCGGAGAGGAGCCGGGACCCAGCCTGCTGAGTGCTTCAAGGTCCTGGCACAGAGTTTATTTCTGGACTGTTTCTGTGTCCAAAGGAATAATGTGAACATGAGGAAATGGGCTTAGAACACGGGGAAGGAGGCAAGATGAGAAGAGAAGAGAAGAGAAGAAAAGCTCTCTATACCAAAGACTAAAACAAACAAACAAAAAATCCTGTTTTGTATTTATTATATGTATTTATGTGGGTGATTTCATGACAGCTGAAAAAAAAGCAACTTGCAGCTGGGTCAATGGGATTTGTTTGCAAGTCAGGAATAAACCTTTTGGATGTGGTTGTCTATGAAATGGACAATGTTTGTTTCTGTGTCCAGACCATTATTCTGTCTGCTAAGGTGCTGGTAATCATAGCCAGCGCACTTGGGGCCTCGGCCAAAGATGCCTGAGCAACCTCCCCCAAAACTGTCGCCCTATCCTGGCTTAAACTCAGAGGCAGGGCAGGAAGTACAGGGCTTCCTAAAAAAACAAAAACAAAAACAAAAACAAAAACAGGTAATTACTATAAACCACGAAAGAAGGACAATGTCATTTTCTAGTGCAGTAGGCCCCCACTCATAAGGCAGCAAAAGTCAGAAGGAAAAAAAGGCAAAGTGAAACGTGCCTGGTCAGTTGGCTTTCCAGGCATTGGCATGAGGCCCAGTTAGGAGGGCTGCTCACTGCCAAGGACAGGATGTCACTGGTTTCTTTTCTGGGGATGGAAGTACGGTGGTACCAGAGGCTAATGACTGCTCTTTTAGCTGGAAAGAACGCCAAGACGGCCAATTGAGGTCTGACTGCTTTAGGAATACTGGTGATGGTTTCTGGTTGTGATCTAATCTCATACACACACACACACACACACACACTGGCTGATTCCCTGGCACCCCAGGATGCCTCTGTCCCAATGCAGAAGGAAATACCCTGCTCTGTGGAAGGGCTGAGTCTTACATGAAGCCCCTCCTTCTCAAGGGGTCTTGGAGTAGAGCCACCAGGGCTCCAGCTGTCACTATCTCCTGCAGGAAAGAGAGCCACAGCAGGTCAGCGTGGACATGGAGCCAGGTGGCCAGGCATGCTGGTGTGGCCCAGTAAGACCCTGGCCCTAAGACCAGGAAGGTGGAAGGGGAGGCTTCCAGACAAGGGTCAGGAGGCCAGGAAGGATGCAGCCCACGCCTCTGGATCCAGCAAGACAGGAGTCTGGTTGATGCTGTCCTGACTTCATGCTTCCTCCTGAAAGGGTCTTCTGGTTCCTCAGACCAGGCCACTGAGATGGTGATGAGAAACCTAGCCACCACATGCTTGCCCTGCAGGCAGAGGCTCTCACCAGTAATGTGCGTACACCCAGTGAGTCTCTTCTGATGCCTTTAAGCCTTACCAGTTACACCTGATAATCTGCATCATTGATGAGATCTAGCAGCAGGAAAACCTTCTAACAACTTCAGAAAGCAGGGCTTTAAGGAACAGTCCTCCATATACATATCTCTTTTCTATTTTTTGCCAATGTCTAGGCTCCAGGCAATAGGGCCACCTCTGTTTGGAAGGAGGCAGGGTTGCACATTTTAGCCTCCTGACCCCAGAGAAGATAGGAGAGCTGGAATGTGCCATCCTATTTAGGTCAGGGATTTAGATCAGAAAGGCCATCCTTTATTTGTGATGAAACAAGCAGTTTTAAACTACTCTTTAAATTGCAAAAATAAATCTAAATCAGTAAAAAGGAAAAACAGAATCTTTGAAAACAGAATGATACTCTGTCAGCCCTTACTTGATGGTCACAATCTAGAGTGTGTTTAGAGAAATTATTCTAGTTAATGGTGTGATTACAGATTTTAAAATGAAACCTCTTTTTTTAAATTGAAGTATGGTTGATTTACAATATTGTGTTAGTTTCAGGTATACAGCAAAGTGATTCAGTTATATATGTTTTCAGATTATTTTCCATTACAGGTTATTACAACATATTGAATACAGTTTCCTGGACTATACAGTAAATCCTCACTGCTTATCTATTTTATGTATAGTAGTTTGCATCTGTTAATTCCAGATTCCTGATTTGTCTTTTCCCCCTTCCCTCTCCCCTTTGGTCACCATTAGTTTCTGTACCTGTGAGTCTGTTTCTGTTTTGTAAATAAGTTCATTTGTACTACTTCCTTAGATTCCACATATAAGTGATACCATATAATATTTGTCTTTGTATGACTTACTTCACTTAGCATGCTAATCTCTAGGCCCATCCATGTTGCAGCAAATGGCAATATTTCATTCTAAAATAGTTTTTTTCAAACTCTTCCTTTGAATTCTGTCACTTCTAAAATAAAATATGTCCCTTTCTCTCTCCTACTCAGGTAAGACTAATGTAATAGTGATTACAATTTATTAAGCCCTTACTAGGTGCCAAGCTTACCTTTTATTTACTAATTTAGTCCGATGAGATACTTGAGAACCCAATGAGATAAATGCTATTTTAACCACAGTTGATAAAGGAAGAAATCAAAGCACACAGAGATTAAGTTATTTGCCCAGGGTCACAGGGCTAATGAGTAAAAGACTCAGGATTTGAACCAGACGGGTAAGCAGGGGCAAATACATCAACTCAAGTGGAAGCGTGCCCTATAGCCTAATTGCTTTCATGTCCGGACTATATCCATATATTTAAGTGAATTATTTCATGTCCATATTTGGTTCTTTCTAGAACCATCACTCCACAGAGCTTCTGTTAATGGGGTTCTGGCTGGATTAGCTGAAATGTGATATCAGATCCTTAAGTCCAAACTTGAAACCCCATAGATGGTGGAAGTGACTAACGGATGCCTCCTTCCCAGACAGGAAGTAGGTCCAAATAAGACCGGGACCCCCTCCCTGAAGGAAGGAGGTGTAAGAGCGCCTCTCCAGGTTTCCTCTTGCTCTTCTGCTCCCGTTCACTCCTCAGACAAGACGTCAGGTCCTGGGAACCTCTCTTTCGTCACACTGTAACCACCAGAGCCCTCAAACAGATGCCTGTTTCTGCCCACATCTTTGGGACCAGGCAGTCGTGACCAAGGTTGTTTTGACTAAAGTACGGACTCCTTCCTAGGTACAACATATAATCCCAAATTTCACAATTAAGAAGGAAACATGAGTCAAACTCTGATGTTTTCCAGGAAACTGCAGTTATGAATGGAAATTATAATATGACCCTCCTGGGATAAGGCATGCTACAGTTCTTTGCTTCTTTAAATCAAATCAAGTTTGGCTCTGATCCAGAGAAGTCTAAAGCCAGCCACGTTTCCTTGTTCCCTCCCCTGGATGTGTGACGGCTCAGGGCCCCAGCACTAATGGAGGCCCTGGACGTGGGGGATGGGGGAGGCCCAGCCTTTAGATTTTGGGGTCCCTGGCTCACCTGCTGACTTCCAGGTGCCAACGCCTTCATGGCCCAGGGCCTCCAATGCTGCTCTCAGGCCACAGCCCATCCATCCTCATAGTCACCCGTGTCATGTCCCGGCCCCTCCCTGGCTCTGTGTATGAATAGGCACTGGAATCTTCTACCCTGAGGAACCCTGGAGAAAGATACTGTTTGTCCCAGGCCCCGTCTCTGGGAAACCACTTCCTGAAACGGATCCACTGCGCTTCCTATACTCATAAAGCCCCTGAAAGTCCACCCTCTCAAATAACACACCCTAATTGCCTCCATGGGTTTAGCCTTCTGGAATCAAAGGCCTCTGAAACTCCCCAGAGAATCCTACTTTCATGTCGGCCCCTGTTGTCCTAAATGGAAAGAGTCTGAAACTACAGCACATTCATAATTTATGCACAATTTGTGTGACAAATATTAATAAACCAAAGAAGGAACCTGGCCCCCAAATCCCATGCTTGGCCATATGCCACCCGGCTTCTCCCCACCTTAGACGCGCTGTGCTTTCTCGCTGCCAGGGAGCAGGGACACCATGAATGGTGACATTCCAGGCGTGAGATGGGGGTCTGCACAAGGGGAGAAGAGAATGTGTCTGAAGGTAGAGTTGATCAAATTTCTTAATGGCTTGGGTGCAGGATGTGAAGACAAGAAGCTTAAAGGACAAGGCCAAGATTTGGGACTTGATCAACTGGAAGCATGGGGTTACCATTTTCTGCAAGAAGGAGACTCTGGAAAGAAAGGGTTCTGATGAGGCAGATTAGATTTATCTTCCATGCCTTTGGTCCAAGCTGCCTCGAGTGGAGACACCGAATGAGCACTTAGAAGTGTGAAGCTGAAGTTCAGGGACAGACCCATGTGGGTGCTGTCAGCCCGGATGCTACTGGGGCTGTGCAGCCAGAAAGGATCACACTGGACGTGAACACAGATGAGGCATCAAGGAGGCCAAGGGCTGATCCGAGGATGTTTCACGTGCAGAGGCTGGGAAGACGAGGGGGACGCAGCGAGGCAGCCAGAAGAGCAAGGAGGGGGATATTCTGGAAGCTGTGGAGGAGGGCGCGCTCCACAGTGTTGAATCACCTCTTTCTATTGTCACAGTAACATAGGACATAGGCACTGTGATCAGCTGATTTCACAGGTAAGGAAACTGGGCTTGGAAAAGAAAGGAGCTTGCCGAGGACTGCTCCATCCATGGTGGGGAGCAAGCCGCCTGGTCATGGAAACATACACACTGGGACTGGAAAATTCTCATTTCCAGTTCGTAAGGTTGCAATAACCTGTCAGAAGAGTTTGCGCATTCCTGCTCTTTCTGCATAAAAAGTAAGACCACTCATCTCCAGATAATAGAACAGGGTCTTCTCGCTGGAGTTTAGACTGTGTGCCCAGAGCAGTGAGGGATTATGGCCTTACCTCAGATGAATACTTATAAATATAAACCAAAAAAAGTAAATATGTAAGATTTCAAGAGGAATCCATTTTATTGAAATATGTTATCAAACTCTTTTAAAACTATGGCATAGTATTCTTTGCGCTCCTTTATTAAGGCACAAAGTGACATTATCCAGCGAGGAAGGCAATTTCAAAGCAGTAATGAGCAGCAATGATATCTTAAGAAATTGGCAACAATTGTAATTTGATGTGAAAATATTTGTGATTTCCAAAGTCACAAAGGGCTGAACTACAAAAAACAACAACAAAAAAATTAGCAACATGCTCAAGTCACTTGAAGATACTAGAAGCCCCTTGAACATGAGAAGACATTCGTGCAGCTGGAAGTTCCAATTTCTTTCTGCACGTAAGTGTTAGTTCATTAAAAATAATCCCTAATTGCTCCCTGGGGACGCAGAGGTGTTACGTGTGTGCGTCGGGGGTGGGGGCAGCAGGGTGAGCACCATTCCTGAAGAGGGCAGAGGCCTGGGTCCTCCATGAATTCTCAGAGCATCCTTTCCCCTCTTTGTCCAGTGAACACAATGATAAACCTGGAAGTTTTGTCGTTTGCACAGGAAGAGCCAGCTCAGTGCCCTGAGGGGCTGAATTGCAATGCTCCCAAAACACAAATCCAGTGGCGTAAATCTGAAGATCAAATCGGCTTTATTAGCCAGTTCATCAATCAGGCAGCATCCCCGGGAACAGCTCCAAGGGCGCTCTGAGGGCTTGTACACAATGGGGGGTTTTATAGGAAGCAGGCTGCGGCAAGAGGGCTACTGGCAACAGAAAAAGGATTCTTTTCACGGCAGGACATGTTTTTTGTGGGGGGAGGAAATGGCAAGTGTTTTATCATGCAGATCGCCTCTCCTTCCTCTGCCCCTGAGACAGATGACTTCTTTGGTGCAGAAAATGCCAAACTGGCTGATTACGATCACATTTGTCAAACAACAAGGTCCTACTGTGTAGCATAGGGAACTATATTCAATATCTTGTAATAACCTGTGGTGATGTGAAGGAAAAGCCGGGCTGGGCTAACAAGATAACTCACAAGTCTAGGAATGTGAAGGACAGGCTGGGCTGGGCTAACAAGATAACACACAAATCTAAGTATTGGAATACTGATCTGAGTTCTGCTAGACTAACTTGTAAATCTAGGTTAATTAGTGTTGGTTTGCTGTTCATGTTTTTTGCTAGCCAGCTGGGTTTTCAAAGATACATATCTGGCTTTGGAATGTTGGTTTGCTGCCTCCCTGCCTCCACTTTTGTGATAATAATGCTGCTAAAGCTGTTCCATGCCTATTGGCCGAATACCCCAAGCTTGTACTTCACCCTATAAAACCTCATGTGCACGTCTTGGAGATGCTCAGAGCTTCAGAGCAGAAGCCCCTCTGAGCCTGCCAGTGTAATAAATCTGAGTGCTCCAACCCTCCGAGTGGTGCTTGTTTCTTGACTGGCCTGTTGTTTCCGTAACAGTGACAAAGGATCTGAAAAAGACTGAATCACTTTGCTGTTCACCTGTAACTAACACAACATTATAAATCAACTATGCTTCAGTAAAAGTAAGTATATAAATTAGAAAGAAATATATACATAGGTATAAA